ATTTCTGCTTAGTTCCTTTTTTTCAGGGGAAATGTTTTTTCCCCTTTGAGTGTGATATTAGCAGTTTTTTGTTTGTTTTTGCATGTAGCCTTTATCATGTTGAGAAATTTCCCTTCTATTTCCGTCTTCCTACTTTTTTTTTTTTTTAAACTAGAAATGGATCTTCAATATTGTCAAATGCTTTTTTAGCATCTAGTGATATGGTCATGTGGCTTTTATTATTTTTTAATCTTGTTATGCATTGATTGCTTTTGTGATTTTGAACCTTCCTTGCATCCTGTGTATGAATCTCACTTGTCATGATGAATGATTTTTTTATGTTATTGGATTCCATTGGCCAGAATATTGTTGAGAATTTTTACCTCTATGTTCATAAGGGGTATTGGTCTGTAGTCTTCTGTATTTGTGGGGCATTTTCTTGGTTTTGGAATGATGGTTATGCTTCATAAAAAGAGTTTGGTAGTTTTCTTTTCTGTAGTCTTGTTGAATAGTCTTTGTGGAATTGATGACAGACTTGTGAAGCCATCTATCTGGTTCTGGGCTTCTCATGGTTGGAAGTTCTTGATGACTTATGTTTCTTTTGTTATGAATTTGTTCAAGTTTTCTATATATGTCTATGTTAATGTGGGTAGATGATGCATTTTTAGGCATTTGTCCATTTCTTTTAAATTACCAGTCTTGTTGGAGAACAGTCTTGTGTTATTTTATTTCATTTGAATATGTTGTGGTGTCAACCTTTCATCTCTATTAGCATCTTTTCTCTCCTTACTTTTGTCAAGCTTGCCAGCAGTTAGTCAGTTTTGTTCATCATTTTTTAAAAACCAACTTCTTGATTTTCATTATTATTTTTTTTGTTTTCAAGTTTGCTTATTGCTGCTCTAATCTTTATTATTTCTCTTCTTCTGCTGTTGGAGAGGTTCTGTTACTTGCCCTTGTTCTAGTTACTGGAGGTGTTGTATTAAGGTGCTAATTTTGGATCTCATCTCTTTCTTCACGTGTGCGTTGATTGCTATAACCTGCCTTCTGATAACTGCTTTTGTTGTGTTCCAAAGGTTGTGATATATTGCGTTATTGTTATCATTTGTTTCAAGACATTTCTTAAATTCCAGTCGTTTTTAAGTGGTATGTTGTTCAGTGTCCATGTGTTTGTCTTTATATTCCTGTTCTTTCTATTATTGATTTCCATTTTTATAGACTTGTGCTTTGAGAAGATGGATTGTAGGAGCTCAGTGTTTTTGAACTTGAGGCTTGCCTTGTGGTGTAACATATGATCTATTCTAGAGTATGTGTCATTTGCTGGAGAAGGATGTGTTGTTATTGAATGTAGTGCTCTCTACATGTTGAAGAGGTCAGCTCGTTGATTGTGTTGGCTAGCTCTTCTGTTTATTTATTCAGTTTCTTCCCTTAGGATCAGTTTTCCTTGAGTGTTGTGTTGAAGTTTCCTACAGTTATTGTCATTCTGTTTATTTTTGTTTTAAACTCTGTAGCATTTGATTAATCATTTGGTCCATATATGTTTATTAAGGTTATGCTATTGGTGTATTGTTTCTCTAATAATTAGGTAGGCTCCATTCTCATCTCTTCATATGTTATTTGCCTTGAAATCGACTTTATCAGAGATTATATTGCTACTCCTACCTTTTTATGGTTGCCGTTGGCTTGATAGATTTTTTTTTTGCCATCTTTTGATTTTTAGTCTTTTTTTTTTGTTTTTGAGTTAAAGTGTGTTTCTTGTAGGCAGCAAATAGATAGGTCTTATTTTCTAATCCAGTCTGCCACTTTCTGTCTTATGATTGGTATATTTATATACATTCTGTATCATTATTGATATATTAGGGTTTGTTGCTGTTGTTTTGCTTTAATTGTTAATTTTTATTTTATTTTATTGATTTCCTTGTTCCTCCTCTATTTCTGTGTTCCTTTCTTCATGTTGGTTTCTGGATGGTTGGTATTGTCCTATCCGATCCTTTCAGGTTTACCTGCTGTTGTTGAGTCTTTGTCCGTAGTGATCTAGTTAATGCTTTTTTATAATGCTGGTCTTGTTATTAAGAATTCTTTAAGTTTTTTGATGTCAGGAAAGACCTTTATTTCTCTTTCATATTGAGGGATACTTTTTATGGATATAAGATTCTTGGTTGGCAATTTTTCCCTTTCAGAAATTTACATATCTCACTCCTTTGTCTTCTTGCCTTTATAGTCTTCTTATCCCTGTCTATTTTACTTTGTATGTAATGGTTCTCTTTTCTCTAGCTGCCTTTAGGATTCTCTCCTTGAACTGAGATAGGTTGACCATAACATGTGTTATGTTTTTCTTTGGGGATTCATCTTATTTTTGGTTCTCTCAGCTTCTTGAATAGATATATTCTCCCTTCTTTGTGATGGTTGAGATATTTTTTTCTGTAATTTCTTTGACTAGTTTCTTTGTAGATTTTTTTTGTTTCTTTTTCTTCCAAGCTCCTGTTGAGACCTAGGTTGTTTTTTTTGATTGTTTCCCATATAATTCTCATACTTTCTACCAGGTCCTTTGCTGTTTTGTGGATTGTTTCTTTCATTGATTATAGTCAGTATGGTTGTCTTCATGCTAACTGATTTGATTTTCCTTTTTTTCCATTTTATTCCTCAGGTCTGTTACTATGTTATCTAGTTCTGTTATCTCATTGTTGACATACTGGTATTCTTTTTGGTTTAGGATTTTGGTTTTCAATTTCTTCCATTGTTCTCTCGAGTGATCCCACATCTTTCATTGTTTCAAATTCTATAACTGTTACTTTCACAGCTTCTGTTGGGTTTGGGTGATTTTTGTGTGTGTTTGTTTTTATTGATTTTTATTTGTATGTTTGTTTATTTCCTGTGGTTGACTGTGGTTTCCTCAGCATCTTGGTACAGCTGTTAGTGCTATGTAGAAGCATTTCACTCTGTCTAGTGATATAGGGTAGGTCTAATTGGAGCTGGAAAATAAACAGTGGTAAAATGGAGAAAAGGGGAGAGGGATGGGTAAGCAGTGAAGATGGGTGGGTGGGATGACAAGCAAGAACAAAATAAAGTTAATGATAATAATGATAAGCATTTGTCTGGAGAGTCCAACACATTTATAAAAGTAATAGGAAAATATCTTTTAAGAGTTATAATCAGAAATTATAACTTTAATGAAACATGCCATGAGAAAAAAGAGTGGAGAAAATAAAAAAGGGTGGAATTGCTGGGAGACAAGCAACAAAAGACCATGGACTGGTATGGATGCTAATTTCTGTTGCTATGGCAATGGGAGGTAGGTGTGCCCGTGTACTCCTGGGGTTGGTGTGGGGAGCTGTTGTTCCGGTGGGTGTTCATAAAAAAGGACTGCCTGTTTTTGCAGGGGAGTGGATTTCACATGAGGTTAGAGCTACACCAGAGGCACTGGAAGAGGAAGTGGGAGAGAACTCTGAAAATATGGGAGTATCATAGTAGAAACAAAGTACAAAACCTGAAAAAGTAAATAAAAATCTAACTGCCTCGTTGATGGGAAACTTACTATCTGATGGGGTTATTTTGTTAGCATGCGCAGTGTGGAGGGAGGTGGGTAGGTGGTTGGTGAGGTCACCAAAGCCCAAAACAGGTAGGAGGAGGAAGGAAAGAAAAAGAAAGGGAAAAAACCCCAAACAAACACAGTGGTAAACTTGGGTCCTGATTGTATCTGCCACAAGCTGCCCATGCAGAGCTGTTTCCCGAGGGCCATTCAGGTACGAAGTTGGGCTGGTTGGATTGCCTCAGGGACCAGAAAATTGCTGTGCTGAGGAGGAGCAGGGCTCACTGAAATGGTTCCTGCTACCGATCAATGGTAATCGATGGTAATCAGTGGTAATCAATGGTAAAGGGGATTCTGTCAGCAAGCGTTGCTCTTGCTTTTCTCCCACCTGAAGAAACGTGGGTCTGCCCATCTCTGTGTTCCGATTCTTACTGTCAGAAAGTGCAGCATCTCCCTCTGAGTGGACCTTCTCTGGGCGTTGCTGATTGTATCTTCCAGTGCTTGTTGTCTGGTGGCCATCTGCCTCTTTTCCCTGTATTTTCTGGCCCTTTGGTTGGTTAAACGGGCTTATATAAGGCTGGAGATGTCTCCATTTGATCTTTGACGACTTCCAGTTTTGCTAGATTTATGCTTCATATATGTTCTGATTATCCTGATCGTTAGTGGAGGTTTGCAGGTGTTTCTTCTCATTAAAAAAAATCATTTTATTGGGGGCTCTTCCACAGCTCTTATCACAATCCATATATCCATCCATTGTGTCAAGCACATTTGTACAGATGTTGCCATCATCATTTCCAAAACATTTTCTTTCTACTTGAGCCCTTAGTACCAGCTCATTTCCTCCCCCCTCCGCCACACTTCCTCCCTTATGAACCCTTGATAATTTATAAATTATTAATTTTTTCTGGTCTGACACCAACCGTTATCTCCCTTCACCCACTTTTTTGTTGCTTGTCCCCCGGGGAGGGGGTGATATGTCAATCACTGTGATGGGGTCCCCCTTTCTCCCATGTTTCTTCTCACTTTGAGTCTTGCCGCCTTAGCAAATGAAGGTTGAGCCGTTATGGAGCAGCCTCCGCTGAGTGGGCAGTTGTTGCTTGACTGCCTCTCAAACTGGGAGTCCCGTATTCCAGCAGCTCTCTCCCTGACACTGTTCTGTAGCTAATCATGACGCTTTCCGCGGCTCGTCCCTCAGAAATGAACAGGCTCTTTCTTCTTTGTACCTGTTCTGACTCAGGACGCTCCACTGACACCTCTTCACCTTGGGTGTTCCCGCTGTTATTTAAAGCATTCCATAAGCCCTAGCATCAGAGCCACACACAGACCACCACAGTACACCGATGGCAGGCACGTGGTGGAATTTAATCTAAATCAGCAACCAATTAATTGACTGCACGTCTTCCTCCCTTTTGTGTTTTCTTCAGTTTCGAGATGTGTTCTGAGTGCTCTGGCAGACTGCTCACCTTCTCACGGGCTTTGTATTTGATCACCACAGGTTGCGAGGCCACAATGTCTGCTGGAGAACAGGAACCCAGGCACTTCTATGTGGGCGTGGATGTTGGCACAGGCAGCGTCCGAGCTGCTCTGGTAGACCAGAAGGGGATCCTCAGAGCCTTCGCAGAGCATCCAATTAAAGAGTGGGAGCCTCAGTGTAACCACCATGAGCAGTCCTCCGAGGATATCTGGGCTGCGTGCTGTGTCGTCACAAAGGTATGGGCCACACTGTGGAGTTCTCTCCTTATGCATGCTCCCCTGTACCCACCCGGTGCCAGTGACTTGGTTAGGGAAAGCTCGACAGAGGCGTTGCCTATAGGCAACTCACAGTCCAGTGGCAGAGATGAGTGAACAACTGAGATAGGATAGGTAGGTAGCAGGAGGCTGGTAACTGTGACTAGAATTGGGGAGAGAGCTGCTTCTTTGAGGAGGCTCAGGATAAATGTGGATTCTGATGGAAAACTCACTAATGTCGTAGAGAACACCTGTGGTGCCTTTTTTCACATGCCACATGCTGTGTAAAACATGTGAATGTAGATTATGCAGTTGAATCCTCACCAAAAGGTGAGACTATTATTCCCCTGTGGGGGCCTGGAAGTGTAGTTGGCTGTGCGTTGGGGTTCTAACCTTATGGTCAACAGTGTGAAACCACTAGCCGTTCCATGAGAGAGATGAGGCTTTCTACTCCCCTAAAGAGTCCCAGTCTTGGGAACTCAGTGGGGCAGTTCTGCCCGCCTGCATGGTCACTGTGAGCTGCCATGAACTCGATGGCAGTGAGTTGGATTATTCTCTCAGAAGAAAGGCCTGGTGGTGATCACTTTTGTAGAACCATCCATTGACAACCCCGTCTCATGCACAGTCTGCCCTGATACACATGGGGTTGCCATGGCTCAGAGTGAACTTACTTGAAACAACCCTTTCTCTGGTCAGAGAACAGTGTGAGTTCCGTGGTAGAATTCTGGTCTTTTACGAGGGACACCTGGTTCGGTTCACAGCCAGTGTAGCTCAAGTGTCGTTAGCACACATCTGTCAGTCGAGCCTTGTCCTTTGCTGGCATGTTGACCAGCTTTCGCTGGAGGTTCAAGGCTTCAATGACTAGGAAGGCAGGCCTGGGGATACCCCTGTGGGTCACCGCCCTCTGACCGGAAAGCCATCATCCCATTGTAACAGCGTCTCTGTCAGTCAGGGCTGGCTCAGTAGCTGCTCACAACAACCACACCACTAGCCCCATTTTTTTTTTTTGGAGGAGAAAATAGAGACAGAGAGGTGGTGAAGTAATAGACCTACATGCATGCAGTTAGGAAGTAACAGAAGTAGGAGGGAAGCTGAAGCAGTCTGATCTGAAGCTTCATTTTCACATTCCACACCCCACCCCCCAATCGGCAAGTGAGGGAAACAGCATTTGGGGCAAAGAATGGAGGCATGAGAACAGTCTGCGCCGAGCAAGCATGGAGTCAGGGTGGCCACGACTATCGAACAGGAGGCACGCACGCATTATTCACGCTTAGTGGCTTAGGCTGTACCAGAGCTCAGCCTGCTGGCTTGGGGACAAAAGCTGGATCATACTTGTTAAATTCTACAGTTTCATTTGGCCATAAGATTATTTTATTTCCTGGGGATCAGGAATAGCAGAGCCTCTTTGGTACCATTCCTGCCTCCCCTCCGCCCCCCCACCCCCCTCGAGGGAGAAATAAAACCCTGTTTTCCTTTTTCTCCCGGTCTCTAGTTGAGTTCCTTAAATATTCATGCGGTGCTTGGTAATTTGCAGCTGGACAGTTCACCATTCTGCCCTTCGTGATCAGGCTGTTCAAACTTTCATGAGCTCGGGGCGGCTGCGAGTGCCCAGAGAAGAAGGCCGAGGAGGAGGTGGGGTGAGTGGCACAGGAGCATTACCCAGGAATAAAAGAGGGGTCACATCTTCTCTTCTACTTGTTTAATTTTCCTCCTCGCTCCCTGTCTCCCTCCCTCCGTTGCCTCTGCCATGCTGAGAGAATCTTCTATTCTTTGCCCTTGGGTCTCCTTTGTTCTTCTAACATCTAGCCTTTCTTGCCATTAAGGAAATTGTCAAGAAGAAAATGTACTCCCCTGATGAAAAGCTACTTAAAAAAAAAAAAAAAAAAAAAGGTCTCCACTGAGTACAGCTTGGTTTAATGGTAGATTTTTAATCAACTCCCAGTGGTGGCCAACTTGTCATTTGTTTGAGCCCCGTTGGCCTCACTGAGTACTGTGATCATTGGTTCCCAGCGGTGCTTGTTCACTGTAGCAAACCCGCATAAAGCTATTGGGCCTTCAGCCATTCCTCTCCGTGAGCGGATGACTCTGTGCCTATGGGTAGGAGAGGCTACATCTACTTGGAACAGCAAACTGGGAACAGGGTTTTAAGGAAGAGCATCCTTCTGTCTGAGAGGAAGCACACCAAAGTGGTTAAGAGCACAGATTGTAGAGCCAGATTACCTGAATTGACATCTTGTCTCAGTTTTCTCATCTGTAAAATGGGAATAATAATTGTGCCAGTCGCCAGGATTGCTATGGAGGTGAAATTAGTCAAGACCTGTAAATCCTGTAATAGGGTCTGGATATGAGCAATTGTGTGGTGCTGTACAATGTGAAGAATCATACAAACAATATGATGCTGGGTTAGGCAATGGACTACTGAGTATCAGTTTTCCAGTTCAAATCTACCAGTCACTTCTCCAGAGAAAGATGAGGCTGTCTGTTCCCATAAATATTTACAGTCTTTGAAACCCTATGTGAGTTTGCTAATCATTGGAAACCTACTTGCGGACAGTTGGTTTCTCTCTCTTTCTCTTTCTTTCTTCCTAATAACAAAAATGAGTGGGTTATGGAGAATAAATTCCTAAGGTAAAATACTGAAAAATCAAAGAACTGTAGCAAACCACCTCTTAGGAATATGAACTCACGCTAATAGTTTGAGTTTCTCTGTGTAGAATTTTCAGGAGCATTGGTCTAGGGGACAGAACATATCCTGGTCTGCCCTTGCTTCTTCCTTCCAGGAAGTTGTGAGCCTGAGAGAAGTTGTGCTTCTTTCTTTCTCTTTAACCAGCAGTTCTCAACCTGTGGGTCATGACCCCTTTGGGGATCGAACAACCCTTGCACAGGGGTCACGCGATTCATAACAGTAGCAAAATGACAGTTATGAAGTAGCAACGAAAATAATGTTGTGGTTGGTGGGTCAACAACACGAGGAGCTGTATGAAAGAGTCGCAGCGTTAGGAAGGTTGAGAACCACTGCTTTAAAACGTTCACACTGCCTGAGGTGATTATTTCTCCTTCATCAAGTTCATAAGGAGAATGATGCTGATGGTAAGAAATGATGCCAATGGCAGCTGATGTTTATTGGGTTCCAGCTATGTTCCAGGTACTATGTTAAGCCCTTTATTCTTTATTTCATACTAGCCTTTGGAGGTATTTATTGTTCTTTCTGTTTTAGAGATGGGAAAAAATGAGGTTTGAAGAGGTAAATAACCAGTCCAGTATCATATGACTAATAAGAGGAAGAGGTGGGATGCTGCTGCTGCTGCTGCTGCTGCTGCTGCTGCTGCTGCTACTGCTTCTTCCACTGCTACTGCTGTTAGTGCTGTGACTGCTGGACTGCTACTGCTGCTGCTGCTACTGCTATGCTGCTGCTATTGCTGCTGCAGCTACTACTGCTGCTGCTGCTACTGCTACTGCTGCTGCTATTGCTGCTGCAGCTGCTACTGCTGCTGCTGCTACTGCTACTGCTGCCACCTTCATGCCCTTCTCCTTACCTTACTCTCCAGCCTCATCCCTCTCTACACGCCCTTGCCTGGAGATTGTATGAAGCCACGTGAAGCTTCCTGCATTTGCCATTGTGTGTGAATTGATGAGCTTACCTTGGTTGGTTCTTGTGTACTCAGTTTACTAAATTGTACATGCCCTTACTAGACTCAGTTAATGCTTGTTGAATACATGAGTGAATGAAATATAACTGTCTTTTTTTTTCTCACTTTCTTCACTTGTCTAATTCCTGGGTACCTTCTAAGGAATGTTGAAACACAACTTCCTCTTGGAAAGGTTTCTTCCTGTCCCCTGGATAATCCCTGCACCATTTGCAAACCTTAGAGCAAAGAGTGTGTGGAAAGGGTTCTGCTTCCCCATAGCTCACCGTCATCATCATGAGGAGATTCAATTTCACCATCAGCAGATTAAAGGGATGGCTTCAACTGGTTTATGGGGGAAAATGGAATATCTCTACAAACTTTTAGAAGATCCCTCATGTTTTAATTGTCATTTTCCTTGCTCCCTATTAACTGAGTTCTTGGAGAAACTCACCCCTCATCTTCAGCATTTAATACAATGCCTGGCACAATAAATGAGTGTTAAATTAATGTTACCTAGAAAGAATGCCAAACAAGATGGCGCCTTTCATTCTGTTGGCTTGTTGCAATAGCTCTGTGAGGTAGACAGGACACCTTCCCTCCTTCCTTCCTATTTGACACATGAAGAAATTGAGGTTCTGTGTGATGGGAATGGGGTGTGCGGCTAACCACAAGGTTATCAGTTCAAAACCAACAGCTACTCCACTGGAGAAAGATGAAGCTTTCTACTTCTGTGAAGAGTTACAGTCTCGGAAACCCATGGGAAAATTCCACCTGGTCCCATGGGTTGCTGTGAGTCAGAATTGACTCAATGGCAGTGAGTTTGTTTTGTTGGGGGAGGAAGAGACAGGTCTAGAACCACAGAATGATGACCCACAGCGTCTTCACTTCCATACTACCCGCTGCCTCTAACACTGGCAAGTGTTTATTGGGCCAGTGCCCAGCAGGACTGCATGGTTCTGTGAAAGCACACGTGTCCTGGGGATACTCACAGTTCCTCTTAAAGGCTTCTTCCCTTTTTTGGAGTCATAAGTCATACTTTCCCCAATTAGGTGAAAGCATTACAATTTAATATAGGATTCGTACTGAGTGGCCATTAGGAAAGTAAACTGGACTAATCATTTAGTTAACAGGCACTGCCAATTTTCTTTTTTTTTTTTAGTTATTTGAATATTTCTTGAGCACTTACTATGTGTTATGCTTTTTGCTAAGCACTGGTGCATATACATGGAGGTGTGCCACAACTTCTGCCCCCAAAAGGAAATTGTTCTGTTGCATGAGGATACAGTTAACATCCATGAAGCCAGTGAAGTACCGTTTTGTTCAAGCCAGACGTTACTGGCGCTCTGTGTGACG